AGAGAGAGAGAGAGAGAGAGAGAGAGAGAGTAGGCAGAGTCAGGAGAGTCGCCATGGAGCTGCCACAGGGGAAACACAGGAGCTAACAGCTGGAACATTGCCAGTAGACCATGAGCCTCGTGGTAAAATATAAAATAGTGGAAATGGGTTAATTCTCTATGTAAGAGCTAGCTAGCAATATACTTAAGCTATTGCCCAAACGGTATTGCAAATAATATAGTTTCTATGTATTTATTGAGGGACTAAGTGGGACAGAAACTTTGTAAAACAATGGTTTAAGCTGAAAGGGAAATACACACGCAATACACATGTTTAAACACACAATAAAGAGAATTTTCATTTTTATATAATTTCTTTATATATAAATGAATGAAAATCCTGTGTTTGTTATTTTATTTCCAATTATGTGTGGGGGAGAGTGGGGTACAAACATGTAAGCACAGCACACAAAGAACAGAAGTGGAATCTGACACTAAACAGCACAGAACCGAGCTCGGTCCTCAGCAGGAGCAGTACAAGCTCTTAACCACCAGGCCGTCTCTCCAGACGCAGAATTTCCACACTTAGAAAACCCAAGTCATCCCTGAAATCGCAATGATTGACCTAAGTATGCAAGTAAGATTCTCATGCAACCTGGAGCCTCTCTTCCAGAGGGAAACGCTTCTTTAGGGCGCGCTTCGGTGAGTCTGTGGGTTTGCACTATTCGTATGCTCTCTTCTCTCTGCCAACAGGCACTACGTTGTTATCCATGCTTGCTTTCCCCTTGGAAGATTTCTACGGAGGCTCTTACCCTGTGGTCAACCACGTGCCCGTGGAGGAGCGGGCAGGAATGTTTCACACAGCACTGCTGACCCTCTGCCTGGGCACAGGAGGGATAAGGGCTGTTATCTGCCCATCTGATGCTTACAGCCCTCAGGAACACGAATCCAAGAAGCCAAGGTCTTTTTTTAACTGGTAAGTAGCACTGATTAGGAGAAAAACAACAGAATTGTCGCACTCTTTCTTTGTTTGGGTTTTCTCTCTGTGTGGCCTTTCTCATTGGTTGGCCTGGGTAAGTGAAAATGTGGTGACCTCTGTGATGATGGTTCAGCTAATAACCCTGGTCAAGGTCGGACACATGGCTCTGCAATTTAGAACACTGGCTGCTCTTCCAGAGGCCTGCAGTGTGGTTCCCAGCAACCCAGTCAAGCGGAGTACAGGTGCCTGTAACTCCAGTTCCAGGAAACCCAATGGCCTCTTCCAGTCTCTGCAGGCACACACATGTATATACAACATAGGCATACAGACACATACACAAACATATCAATAAACAATAAAACTTATCTTTAAAACAATAATGATCAGATATAGATCAGAACCATCAACTTTTCATGGAAAACTGAATAATCTATCCTCCAACTAAGAAGGCATACAGTGGTTTGTCGCAATGAATAAAATGTGGCCTCTGAGCCCAAAAGGCCAGGTGGAAGTCTCACCTCTACTTACCACAACTGTCCGTGACCAAGTCATCTCTCTCTAGCGTGTTCATGTCTGAAGACAGCATTAGCTTAGTCAGACGTAACTGCGGCATCAGAGAACGTGGTGCACGGCTACAGATGATCACAAAGAAGGGAAGGGAGGCTGTCGTCGCTATGTCTACTTGCAGCAGAGACTGGCAAGGTTGTTAAGTTCACAGTCCAGCATAAAGAGGAGATGACAGCGAAAAAGAGTCTTTCAGAACACATTGGATACCTGCCAGGATCCTTGAGGTGATTCGTGACAACCAAACTATCTTTCTCTTGCTTTGCTGCTTGGTCTGGGGAATATGAGGGTATGTGCATGCAAGTATATGTGTGTGTGCAGGTGTGCACACACACACATGTGTTCCTATGGTGACCAGAGGTTAGCCTCTGGTGTTATTCCTCAGGACCTATTAAGTTCTTTGAGAAAGGATCTCTCACTGGCCCTTTGGAGCTTTCCAGTAAGGCTCAGTCGGATGACCAGTGAGTTCCAGGGACCCACTTGTCTCCACATGCTCAGAGCTGGGAATCCAAGTGTGCATCGCCACACCTGGCTTTTCATATGAGTTCTTGGAACTAAACTCGAGTCCCCATAATTGCTTAATTGCTCAGTACACGCTTTACCTACTGAGCCATCACCCCAGGCTCTTTTTTTTTTTTATTTATCTATTTATTTATTTATTTATTTATTTATTTATTTGGTTTTTCGAGACAGGGTTTTCCTGTTTAACAGTCCTAGCTGTCCTGGAACTAGCTCTTGTAGACCAGGCTGGACTTGAACTCACAGGGATTCACGTGCCTCTGACTCCCAAGTGCTGGGATTAAAGGCATGCACCACCACCACCTGGTTCTATATGCTTTAAAAGGAACCAGTTTATATACTATAAAATAAGGATTCGGGAAAACAATTGAGATTTGACAATTGATGAAGAGTCGCTCACTGTTCATAGCTTAGCAAAGAATTTATCTGGGTGCTCTCATTTGTGGGTATTTCCCAGCCATTAAAGTCTATTAAAGTCTGCATAAGAGCCATTTCACACCTTTCATCTACAGGATGGGTTAGCTAGTGTTTCAGGAAAGTTCTGTTTAAATCCAAACTATCATCCCAAATACCCATGTATGGAGTGTTTAGTCCCTGACCTATGGTACTCTAGAGAGGTTGTAGGACCTTTGTACAGTGGAGTCTTCTATAAAACACATTTGGTTTTGAAGGAGAGACTGGAAATTCTGGCCCTTTCCTCTTGTCCTGCTTGCTTCTGGGCCTCAACCAGGTGAGAAGCTTTGTTTGATCATCTGGCTCCAGCCACAGCCACAAGGTACTGCGTTATCACAGACTCCCTGGCAATGGGTCAGTCCACAAAGAGCTCACTAAAATCTCGGGAGCTGGGACATCACACTTTCCTCCCTCTAAGTTGACTGTTACATACATGTTTGTCAAAACAGGTGGAAGCTACCAGAGATGCATGGTTTCCATTCTGGGTTTGTCTGTCTGTTGGGTTTTTTGCTTTTGTTGTTGCTTTATTTTGTGTTTTGGTTTGGTTTGGTTTGGTTTGGGTTGTTCTTTTGGTGTGTGTGTGTGTGTATATGTGTGTGTGTGTGTGTGTGCGTGCGTGTGTGTAAAATGGGCTCTCAGCATTGTCTAGATTCTTGCTACCACTGTTATCTCTGGGTAAATCAAGGCAGACAGCACCAGGCAGAAATATTAAAAAGAAAATTAATGTTGGGAACATGAAGTGACGACTGGAGAGAAGGCTCGGTAGTTAAAAGTACTTTGCTGCTCTTGCCAATGATCCAGGCTCCACTGTTGCTAGCATCCGCATGTGGAGAGAAGTCACCTATAACTCCTGTTCCAGAGGGCATCGAACATGTTTTTCTGAGCTAGGAGGAAACCAGGCAAACAGCTGGATTGCATACATATGTGGCGGCAATGCACTCACACACATTTTAAATTTAAAAAATAAATGCCTTCAACGATGTGTTTAAAGTCAATGTTATATATGGATATGCAGCTCTAGAGGCAGATTTCTTCTCTTCCTCATGCGTCTCCTCCTGCTTTCTATTAATATTACAAAACACTCAGGCCTATTTTGGATTAAGTCCTAATGTAAGGGAAGGATGCAGTCTATCAAAGGGAAAAGGGATGTTCACTTCCTCATAGCAAATTCTGCCTCCTTGACCTGCCCAAAGGAGAATGAAATCCTTCTTTTTCATTCCATTTGGAGGTTTTAATCCTTAATTAGCAACATCATTTTGATTAAATAAGACTCTGGAGGATTACGACGGGAGAGCCACCAGTTGTTCTGAAAGATAGCCCCAGAGACTGTATTGTACTGTGGTTGGAGTCATTCGGAGTTGTGTTTAATCAAAGTGACATTTCTCGGTGTTGATTACAAAAGGGACATTATATGAATGAACTCCTTCCTTTGGGAAATGGAGTGAACTCCCAGTGGGTTTGTGCTTCAGGGGTTTGGGTAGGAGGATGTGGAGTGTCACACAATGAAATTGAGAAGCTGGGAGGAGCCAGGCCAGATTCAGGAAGAACACATTAAACAAACACTTTTTACTTTTTTCTAATTTCATTAAAATCTCCGAAGAGAATAATTCTGTGGAATTGTTGAAGCCTGAAGGTACAAGTGTCTAGGAAAAAAAAAAAAGTAGACAAAGAACCACAGTATTACTCCTTTTGGTTTGTTTGCTTTTTTGGTTTAAATACTGAACTACAGAACAACTTTTGTCATCGTCTACTTACTAAAGTTAGTAGAAATAAATGACAAGAATGAAATATCTATTCTAAAACATTCTGAATGGATGGGTGGCAAGATTAACAGAGCTTCCACAGGCAGCCAAGCAACTAGCTGGCAGAATCTTGTATTGGTCACTTGGGACGGTTATAACTTCCAGCAAGGTCGGTAGTTTGCAGAAATCAGGGTTACCCAGTCACAATGTAGGAATACCTCCGAGGGATGTATTGCTGCTTATACACAGAGTATCCTAACTTAACACTAGTGCTAGAATTTTAAAGGCTGTTACTATTACTGAACAATGAACAAGTCATAGCTTAAAATCTTGGTTATTGATAGGAAAGAGAAAACCTATTTAATAGGTAGCCATCTTTAAAATTGGCCGTCGGTTAACTCAATTGTTTTCTCAAAGTCCTAAAATCCCTAATGGGCTGAGGTTATAGTTCAGTGGTAGAATGGTTGCCTCGCGTTCATGAGGCCCCAGGTTCAATTACCAGTGCCACAAAAGAAAAATAAAACCCTAAAAGTTGCAAGCATGGAGGACGTAATTGATTTCAGCAGCTCCTTTCAAGGGACAACGCACCACTTAAACCTAACCGAAGTCTGCGTTTGGTCCTGCTTCCAGCTCAGATGTCGGATGTTCATAGTGGCAAGACCTTTAATGAGATGTGTCGTTGCGTCTGTTCCACCCAAAGCTTCCCCGCGATCCTGTTAAGCAGTGTAGGCTGGAAGTTTGAGGAGCTGAAAACAGCGATTCTGAGTAAGGTTGCCAAATGGAAGGGAGAAAGCCACTGCTAGCCAACAGTGCCATCTGGAACGGTGTCTCCGCAACTGTGTACCTCACGGGAGGCACAAAGTTGAAGTTCTCTGAAAAGGAACTCTCTGCCAGCAGCCTGGTGTACGGACCCAGATCGGAACCGGCTCTTTCAGGGATTTCCAGGTTCTTAGGCGTGCAGTTAAGAGCCACCACACTGAAGATAATGCAAGTAAGCACACCTGAGCAGATTCCTCTTTCCGGAAGCCAGAGGAGGTGGAAAATGAAACTTGTTCATGGCCGTGATTTTAAAGCCTTCAAATTGCTCTTTGCATTTTTTTTCTACCTCCTTTAGCTGATAATTCACATTTTATGTATTTCACAATGTGCTGCATTAGGCAGAACCGAAGTCCCAAGTAAAATACTGACTGGGTTCTTGAGAGGGGCAAAAGAGGAATTTATCCCATCCCCCGCATTTCAGATATGAGTATCCAAATTGACCCTACACTGTCTGTCCAATACAAAAATGCTCTCTGTTGAGTATTGTGGTGGTTTGAAAGAAAACAGCCCCCAAAGGGAGTAGCAATATTCGGAGGTGTGCCTTTGTTGGAGTAGATATGTCCTTTTTATAGGAAGGGTGTCATCACTGTGGGGGTGGGCTTTGAGGTTCCCTATGCTCAAGCTACTCCCAGTGAGAAAGAACACTTCCTGTTCCCTGCAAGAGGAGATGTAGGACTTTCAGTTCCTGTTCCAGCACTACATCTGCCTGCCTGCTGCCTTGCTCCATGTAATGTTAATAATGGACTAAACCTCTGAACTGTAAGCAAGTCACCACAATTATACATTTTCCATTGTAAGTGTTGCTATGGTCATGGTGTCTCTTCACAGCAATGGAAACCCTAACTGAGATAAATATGAACTCAAATGTAGAATCTTTATGTTAGGGAGGCACTGGAGCTA